CTCTCTCTCTCTCTCTCTCTCTCTCTCTCTCTCTCTCTCTCTCTCTCTCTTGTCAAGTGGTGAATATTTCCATCTCCCTCTCCCACACAATGACAAGAATAAACTCTCAAAACTCCCCTTGTGTAATTTTACTGAAACTAGCGAAACGACAAAAAGCGGGAATAGAGAGGAAGCATTTTTTAGAGGAAATCTCGTACTTTTAGTGAAGGAACCCCTTTTCAACAAAGGAAGCATTTTGTAGAGGCAATCTCATACTTTTAGTAAAGGAACCCCTTTTTAACTACAAATTTAGTGAAATTTGTTGATCACGTCCTCAGTCCTCGAAAGAGCTGCAACACAACTAACTTTTGTATCTTCTTCCAACTTCTTCCTTCTCTCTCCTTGCCCACTCTTGTTGCCTTTCTTTGAAATCAGACACGAGTCAAAATGACAAGGTGTGTATAGTTTGTGTACTACACAATATACATCATGGCATTTAGAAAGTTTTTTGGGTATTAAAGAATTGGAGATCAACACTCCATTGCAATTAGAACAAAATATGTGCAACTGAAACTCGCTTCCAAAGGACATGATACTCGGTTCCGAGTTGGTGGAGTCGTGGTTCCGATTGATCATGGAGCCGTGTTTTTTGGCATAGGGATCTGTATGCCATTTAAGAGGAATTGGATCCCCTACTTCCCTTATTCGAGAACCCAAATATCGCAGAATCGCCCAGAATCGAGGTCCCTTGTATCGGAGTACGGGATCGAGTTTCCGGAGTAGAAGCAAACCCCTCCTTGGAAGATCCCAATAACTATGTTTGAAAGTGAAGGAACAACACATTAAAACCATAATGAATACCTTGCTAACATATGGGACAGCAATGAAGGAACCCTCCTCTGTCATAGACGGCAGAACCCCATTACCATCCATGTTCCTTCTCTCTCCTCTTTCTTCTATCATGGATGACGGAACCCCATCACCACCCACGTTCTATCTTTTTTTCTTCCCCTTTGTCATGACGACAAAACCCTATCACCATCCACGTCCTATCTCTTTTTCTTCCCCTCTGTCATGGACGGCGAAACCCCATCGCCGTCCATGCTTCTTTTTGTCCCCATCTTCATCCATGGTTCGTTTCTCTCCTCTCTTCCCTCTCCTCCCTTCCCTATTCTCTCTCATCATCCTTATTCTCTCTCTTCTCTCAACTTCCTTATTCTCTCTGTTCTCTCTCATCTTCCCTATTCTCTCTCTACTCTCTCATCTTCTCTCTCTTCTCTCTCTTCTTCTCTATTCTCTCCCTTCTCTCGCATCTTCTCTCATCACCTTCTCTTTTATCTCTTCTCTTTCTTCTTCTTTCCACCTCTCCCTTTTCTCTTTCTTTTCTACTTCCCTCCCTCTTCTTCTTCTTTCTCTTCTTTATCTCTCCTCCCCTCTTCTACGATTTCTTTTCTTCTCTCATTCTTTCTCTTCCTCTCTCTTCTTTCTTTCTCTTCTTTCTCTCCCATTTTGACCAAAAGACAGTTAAGTTTAGCACTGCCACGGTCGTTTCATTGTCGATCAGTATTGTCATCGTGTCGTTCTAAGTTACCGTGCCTGTTTTTTTGCCCCGTCAAACTCGTTGTTGTGTCAGGCTGGTTGTTGTTGGTGTTCTGTCATCGAGTAGTATTGTCGTGTTCCATTCTGCGTTACCATGCCCATCTTGCTATCACGTCAGGTCAATCATCATATCAATTTAGCCATTGTGCTAAGCTAGTCGTCGAGTCAAATGTCTCCTTCTTTTCTTCTCTTTGCTCCCTTATTCCTCTTTCCTCCAACTCTCGTCTCATCTCTTTCCCCTTTGAATGTGCACGCTCATGCGTATTTACCCCAAGGATAAAGTGGAGTCCCTTGACCACTTGTCTTGTAAAATTAACCATGTGAATGTGATTGTAGAAATATGAGAGTATAGGCCATGGGGGGCGATTCCGAACCAGTTGTAGAACTGGGGGCCTTTCTTCGTGCTCTAAGAGGGCGCCCATGCAAGCCAGCCCGAGTTAGTCTTGAAACCACCTTAAATTCCTCTATAATTGGTTGGTATACCTTCCCTTGCTCCTAGATAAGGTTCCTGAGAGAGCGGTCTCAAGTCTCGGGTTCTTATTGAAACCCGAGGCACGTGCCACAAGATCACCTAGATTAGGAGGGCGAGAACGAGGCACCTAACCAGCTTGGTGGCTCCATTGGGGACTTACTACCCTTTCGTCGGATCGTTCTTGTTAGGCTAGTTTATCTTTTACTTTTCTGCATCATTTTCACATGGCATCTAGGTTCTTCAACCCATTTATCTGGATCGGGGATTTTCTCATCCCCGCATTCGCGAGTGTCCCCCAGGAGCAAGTTCCTCAAACAAGCTCCCTGTTTTCTGCTGCCTGCAAACCAGTGACACAGAGAACAACCTCGGGTTTAGAGATAGAAACCAGCACTTTGTGGCATTGGATAGTTCATGAAACGTCTCAAACCCACATAGAGGGATGTTAAAAACAAAGCCTTGTTGTAGGGTGTTTTTGATGCCCTTGCATCCCCGATGCGAATAAAGGAGGAGCCAATTGCAACCTAAACCCATGAGTACCAAAA